CCAGCCGCGCCGAGGGCCCTGGCAGGGAGGTGACGGCTCCCCACTCCTCCTGCAGATCTTCGCCATGTTCTTCGCCTTTTGCCTCTACTACAACTTTGACTGAGCAGGACGCTGCTCCCGGCCCCTGCGGGTGCAGCAGCAGCCCGGGGCTCTCCCTCCCTTTGTGCATCAGAGCCCAGCTCTTCCCTTCAACCCTGGAGTTGTTTCCCCCAGCAGGCAGGAGCCTGGAGTCCTGCAGCTGCTCCGTGGTCAGCTGAGGACTTGCTTTCCTTGGAGAGGACACAGGTTAAATGTTCCTCACGGACAACCCTGCAGTCTCACTAGAGAAGAGTTTCCGCAGTTTCACCAGCTCACACGCGTCTCCCGTTCAGCTTCTGCTTTCAGCTTGCTTTGACGCAGAGGGAGCACGCGGGGAGCCGCAGCGCTCGATCCCATCCTCCTCCCTCCAAGGGAGCGCTGTAGATCGAAAGCCGAATTGGCTTTTCCAGCTTTGCTTTCTGCAGCGTGACAAACCAGAAGAGAAATGCAAATAAATTAAAGCTGTGTTTTATTTATGAGAACTATTCACAAAACGTAGGAAACAGAGAAAATTAAACTGGCTACTGCAACAGAGCCATTCAAAGATTTAATTATAGCTAAATAAAGCTCTAAAAAGAACAGAACAGTGCACAGCCACGAAAACCACTTAAGGATCCAGGCGAGATTTCTTCTCCTTCTCAACAATATTACTCCCTTTTCTTTTTGGTCCGATAGGTTCTTGGGTCCTGGTTTCACTTTGGTTTGTCTTCTCTTCCAAAGCTTTGGATGCCTGAGATAAGAAGAAATACAAGCAGTGGGTTTGAATAATTCAGTTTTACAAGCTGTCAGCTCCGCTGCGTATTCCCAGCGCTGCGTGGGTGTGCGCACCTCAGAACATCCTGCGCTCCACAAAGACCAGAATGTTTTTGCTTCCAGCGTTTATGCAGAAGCCCTTAATTAGCTTGCTCCCACTGCTGGAAATTTAGGGAAGGGGAAATGAACAGTACATCCAGCCACAGTAGCGGCCACAGGAGATTTCACAAGTACAAGGAAAGCAGAGGGACATTTTTGACAAAAAAGCAGTTTTGTCTGTGCTAGAAACATTTAGGAGCTAGGTCTCCATGGGGCTGTGTGTGCTACTGTAAAGGTCTCTTCATGTTTTGTCCTTCTGTCACCTCGCAGCAGTACTGGCCAATGTGCTTGGCAGGGTTGGAGTAGCGAGCACCAGCCTTGGAGCTTTCAGGTTTATAAGCAAAAACCAAACCAAGCCATTCCTTTCAGAGAAAGCACCTCATCCAAATGAGCTGCAGGGAGAGAAAACAGCCAGGCAAAGGAGAAGGCCTGAACAGGAGCTTCCAGAGACTTTTCAGAGCAGCTTTATTCCTGCTTAAATGCAATTTATTTTTACGAGTCTGTGAGACAGGTCATGGTACAAATGGAGACAAGAAAATAGGAAGGGTGACAGCAGGAAGGCTGCATTCCACTGGGAATTGGGGAGACTAGTCAGTGTTGGAGAAGACGTTTGCAGTAAGAAGGGGAGGAAAACAGCATTAGCTGAGCCCAAGGCACAACCGCAGTGGAAAATTGATGGAAATTTCACCTAGCTGGAGGGTCTGGGGAGCAGAAATGCCACTTAAGCTGCTCCATGGCCAAGGCAGCAGCTCCACCTGCTGTTACCAACTCACAGGTACTCAGCCCAGCTCTTCCCAGCGAGCTGAGTATTTGCCTGGCAACAGGAGAGGCTGGAACAGAGCCCTGCCTTGGATCAAACTTCCCAAAAGGCCAATGCCTTCCCCAGTCCCTTGGGAAGGGAAGACGTTGTATGACTGTCACCCTCCATGTGCTGTGAGAGCCCCAAGGATCTCCCCTAGAGGGGGGCGCAAAGGAGACACCTGCTTCCCCTCCTCTATCCACAGGCTTCAGTCACTACATGAGATACTGCAAAGTGAAGCTACTCATCTTTAAAAAAAAATAATAAGGATAATAAAAACTACCATCCAAGAATAGGGAGGGCAGGAGGAAAGACAGCTGCTTAGGAGAGATTCACAAAATTATTTTGAGAGAGGCAAATTCAGGGAAGAAACTGCAAATGCAGCAGCGACAGCGTCATGTTTCTTACCCTGTTCTGCTGGCTCGCGTATTTCTTAGTCCACTCTCTGGCATTGATCAAGAACAGCTGCTTGTTGTACTTATACTCTGAGGACTACATGTTAGGGAGCAGGACAAAGACAAGAGACTTGAGTTAATACCAGCATCATGCAGCGCGAGATACGGAGAGGCTGATACTCAAGTCTGGCTTTAGAACCATCCCCAAAACACTACAACCATCCCCAAAACGCTACAGTCACCAATGCAAAGCACCAATCCACTTAAAAAAGAGGAATGTTGCCCATTTTGGTCTCTTTTTCCACTGTTGGCATGAGCTATCACATGCCCTGGCTGCTTGAGGAGAAAGGCAATCACGTGCACAGGCCTGACCCAGGTCGGAATGGTGCCAGTGTAATCCACCAGCGCCCGAATGCTGGGTGAGCAAAGGAAGGCCAGCCCGAGCCCGGCGCGCTGCTCCGCCAAATCCGTGTGCAGGGACCCGGGAGGGGAAGTGAGGGGCTCACGTACGATGTCTGCCATGAGCGGGTCGTCCGGGTTGGGCTCCGCCATCAGCAGCTGTATGGAGGTCAGCAGCGTGGAGATGTTCAGGGATGGCCTCCATGCGCCCTTCGCAGAAACAGGGCGAGAGAAGCAGTTACACAGAAAGCAACCTGCGCGCAGGCTTCCTAGGGAAACCTCGGCTTCCCCGGCATTCCCCCGCCTCCACGCGCCCAGCGGCGGTGGGAACAACCTGCGGGAAGTGGAACGGTTCAAAACACCTGGTCTATTCTCAACACACAGCTCCACCTTGCTGAGGAAGCCCAGCAGAGAACCACAGGTTGTGCCCTACATATCTGTGCCATGTCAGTGTTGGGACATCCAGTCTGGCTTTCCAGAGGGCTACCTAACACCCGCTGGCTACGTTCCAGCCTCGAAACAAAGGAGATGCCTCACGCGAGCTTCACCCGTGTGTCCCTATGTACGTAAGTCAGTGGCAGCAGACATTTAATAAGGCTTTTACAGGCAAAAGATAAGGAGCTCGGTGTCCTCTCTGGGCTCGCTTACCCTTGCACAGGTAGCACTATCTTACCTGTGGAGGTAACTTAAGAACATCCAGACAAATCCTTCCAGCGGCGTCTATGTTAGGATGATAGATAGGGGTCAGAAAGCGAATCTTTGGGGGCTCAAATGGGTATCTACAAAGGATAAGCATAAAAAAAAAATACATATGTATATATATGTGTTTGTGTGCTGTACTCCATTTGCTACATCAGCCAAGCAGTGGCATCGCTTCCTTCTCCCACCATGCGCTAAGTGATGCCCTTTCCCACAGATTTTCGGAGGAAGCAGCGCTATGCCTGACCACTCGGAGGCTTTCAGCTGTGCCCAGCCATCACTTCGTACATAGATGGTTTTTCAGGAAGAAGCAAGCAGCATAGGGAGGCCTGCTCGTGGCTGAGCTACCTCTCCGGAAGCTTTGAAGCGATGCAGTTAAGTTAGAGCTAATCGGCACATTCTTTGCAAGGAGGCTCAAGGAAAGACCCAAGCAGGAGCACTCTGTGTCCAATAAGCTAATCCTGCTCTTCAGCATACTTATCCCAAACATCTTTCACGAGTTAATGTATATTTGAAGGAAAAAACGCTATGCTACCGACTTTGCTGGAGTAATTTCATGCCACTGCCCACTTACCTTTCAGGAACAACTATTTCCAGGTTGAATATTCCCTTCTCATATGGTGTGTCTGCACTTCCTAAAATCTCTTAAAAAAAAAAAAGAAAAATAAAAAGAAAATATAATTAGGTTGACCTTTTCTCTTCACACTTTGGCCAACTCTAGATGCCTTCTGCCATTGCAAGTGCCAGTTTCAACTTTGGAAGGAGACAAAGAGCAGCTTCCAGTCTACGGGCTGTGATTTATCAGCAGCTGGAGGACACGAGAGGGCCCAGGACATGCTCGGGGCCAAGAGGTGCCCTTTTGCACAAAGGCAGAGAAGCGTTTAGGGCACGGTTAAACCATCCAACGCTGCTGCTTTTAACGTTCCTTCTCGCTGGCAGAGCTGAGGATGAGCTTGTGCCAAAAGCCCTAGATGAAACGGTGCTAAGGGGAGAGCTGAACTGTGCTCTGCGCCCCAGAGGTGCCGAGACAGGAGCCCCGGGCACCTCCCACGGCCACGGCGAGGGATAAACCTGCCCCTCGCCTGCGCGCTGCGGAGCAGGGGGCGAGGTTAGAGCTGGATGCTCTGCTGAGCTGAAGGGCAGGACTGAGCTGTACCGAGGGGAGCCCCCGCAGCCCCCGGCCCCACGCGCGGGCGTGCAGCTGGCCCGGGCGCTGCTCGCTTGGCCAGCAGGTCACCCCGGGCGGCGGCTCGGCTGCCAGGAGCGCCAGCTCCCCCGCGAGGCGCGCCGC